CCGACGACGAACTCGGAGCTCCTTCGGACCCTCCGGAGCGCTCACCAGACCTTGACGACGACGAGCATCTTGAAGACGGCGACCGCATCTTCTACACCTCCTTTCGCCCAATCGAGGAGATTCGTGCTGGGAGCACCGTGTCCCAACGCCTTGCAGAGGCCTTCGCCCGTAACTCGGCCCCCCCGCCTTGGGAGATTCCGGACTGGGCCAAGGAGTTCCAAGACGTCTTTGACAAGGAGTCCTTCGACACGTTACCAGAGCGGAGGGCTTGGGACCACGCTATCGAACTCGTTCCCGACGCGAAGCCCGCTAATTGCAAGGTGTATCCGATCTCCCCCTTGAACAGCGCGAACTTGACGAGTTCATCGAGGAGGGACTTGCCACAGGCCGTATCCGCCCTTCGAAATCTCCGATGGCTTCCCCGTCTTCTTCGTTAAGAAAAAGGACGGAGGACTTCGGTTTGTCCAGGACTACCGCGCCCTCAACGCGATGACGATTAAGAACCGGTACCCCCTCCCGTTGATTAATGACCTTATCAACAGGCTTAAGGGCGCCCTTCACTTCACCAAACTCGACGTTCGCTGGGGCTTTAATAACGTCCGGATTAAAGAAGGAGACGAGTGGAAGGCGGCCTTTCGGACCAACCGAGGGTTGTTCGAACCTTTGGTGATGTATTTTGGCCTGACGAACTCCCCCGACTTTCCAAACGATGATGAATGACATTTTCCAGGATCTCATTCTCTCAGGAGACGTCATGATCTACCTCGACGATATCCTTATCGCGCATTCGGACCTCCGTAAGCACCGCGAGATCGTCCGTGAAGTCCTTGGCGACTCCGAATGCACAAGCTGTACCTTCGCAAGGAGAAGTGCGACTTGAGAAATCGTCAATCGAGTACCTGGGGGTTATCATCTCTCACAACCACGTCGAAATGGATCCCGTTAAGGTTGCCGGAGTCTCCGCATGGCCTCCGCCCGAGAACAAGAAGGACGTCCAGCAGTTCCTGGGGTTTGCTAATTTCTACCGCAGGTTCATTCGGGATTTCTCGGCCCTAGCGCAACCCCTCTTCGCGCTCACCAAGAAAGACCAGAAATGGGCCTGGGGAGACGCCGAGCCGCCGCCTTTCAAGCTATCAAAGACGCGGTCGTCTCAGAGCCCGTCTTAGCGATCCCGGACGACTCCCGGCCTTTCCGACTTGAAGCAGACAGCTCAGATTATGCGACGGGGGCGGTTCTTTCACAACAATCCGCCCGGACGGGAAGTGGCACCCTGTAGCGTTCTATTCCAAAAGCTTAAATGATGTCCAGCGCAACTACGAGATTCACGACAAGGAGATGCTCGCGATCATCCGCGCACTCGAGGAGTATCGGCATTTCCTCGAGGGCGCCGCGCATCCGGTCGAGATCTGGACTGACCATAAGAATTTGGAGTATTTCCGAAAGGCACAGCACCTTAACCGTCGGCAAGCCCGATGGTCGTTGTACCTTTCCAGGTTTGACTTTACGCTGCACCACGTCCCAGGTCGCCAGATGGGCCGTCCCGATGCTCTCTCTCGCCGGCCCGACCACGGTATCTCCGACGACAACTCGGATGTCACCCTCTTACGCCCCGAACTGTTCCACGTTCGCGCTTGAGGCCGTCACCGTCTCTGGGCCTGGCTCCGAACTTGTCCGCGACATCAAGGAAGCGCTATCCGGTGAGCCTGACCTAGAGGAGCCCGTCGCGCTTGCGGCCCGGCAACTCTTGAAGGTCCGAGGTCAAGTTCGGGGCCCCGCTCATCACGTTCGGACGAGTGGGCTGTCTCCGGCGACCTCCTGTACTTCCGCGGCAAGGTTGTAGTCCCTAAAGACAAGGACCTAAGGAGGCGCATCATCGAGCTCTGCCACGATACGCGAGTCGCCGGACACGCCGGGCGGTTCAAGACCTTAGAGTTGGTTTCGCGGCAACTACTGGTGGCCGCAGATGTCTCGCCATATCGGACGCTACGTCGCGACCTGCGACTTATGCTGCCGCACGAAGGCCCTCCAGGGCTTCCCATGGAGAGCTCCATCCGACCGAAGTCCCGCCCGAACGTTGGCACACTGTCACTGTAGACTTCATTGTCGAGCTGCCCGAGGCCCATGGGTATGACGCGGTTATGGTAGTGGTCGACGCCCTCGGAAAGCGCCCCCACTTCACTGAGTGCCATACAACAATAGACGCGGTCGGAGCTGCCCGCTTGTACTATCGGAACGTCTGGAGGCACCACGGAACCCCGAGAAGTACATTTCGGACCGTGGCTCGCAGTTCATCGCTGACTTCACGCGAACTCTGGCGCTTAATTGGCGTCAAACCGGCTACCTCCACGGCTTACCACCCGCAAAACCGACGGACAAACCGAGCGCGTTAACCAAGAGCTCGAGCAGTACATCCGGATCTTCACCAACTACCAACAAGACGACTGGGACGAGCTTATCCCTGCCGCTGAGTTCGCCTATAACAACCACGTTCACTCCTCCACTCAACAGGTACCCTTTATGACGGACACTGGCCGGCTTCCCGAATGGGTTTCGAGCCAGGCGCCCGCTCAGAGTTGGAGTCGGTAAACGAAGTTTCGCGATCGGATAGCTAACGGCGTCTCCGAGGCAAAGGCCGCACTCGTTAAAGCCAAAGACGAGTATAAACGGTACTACGATCGGAAACGTTCGGACGCTCCGAAGATTCAAGTTGGTGATAAGGTTTGGTTGGACGCCTCTGACATTAGAACGACTCGGCCCTCCGAGAAGTTCTCCCACAAGCGCCTTGGACCGTTCAAGGTGCTCGCAGAGGTTAGCAAAGGTGCCTACAAGCTAGACCTCCCCCCGCGTTACTCCAAGCTCCACCCCGTCTTCCCCTGTTAAGCTCGAGCCCGCTCAGGACGACCCCCTTCGACGGACGACCCGGCTACGACGAACCGCCCCCGAACTAGAGGACGGAGTTCCCGAATGGGAAGTCGAGGAAATCTTGGATGCCAGGATAAGGTATAAGCGTCTTAACTATTTCGTCAGGTGGAAAGGCTACGATGCTTCACACGACTCGTGGGTTCGGTTCGACCGTGTCTTTGCGCCAGACAAGATTGCGGACTTCTATCGGAGATACCGGGTAAACCACGGCACATCGCCTCAGCAACCTTCGACTCGCTGCCCTTCCGTATTATGCGTCGGGACGCCGCATTCAAAGGGGGGTGATGTCAGGGGAACCCCCGCTTGGCCTCCTTCGACCCTCCGAACGCATCCGAGGCGCATCCGACCGGCGCCCCTCGGACGCTCCGACCCACCCCGACCATCGTCCCACGGCCTCCTTCGCCCGCACAATCACCGATCCGTCAAGACCCTCCCAACGATCACCTTGGGACAGAGCCTGCGACGCCGCTCAGGCCTTCTGCGCTCTACGTCGGCAGTTACGGACGACCAGTATATAGTTGGCGCCCTAGCAGGCGGACCCTTAGAGTTTCTTCTCTTTGGATCCTCCCCTGCTAGGTCGGTCCCTCCGTGTATTTCCCGTAGCTTTTATTCACGCTTTGGATCCTCCCCTGCTAGGCTTTCGTCGGAGTCTCCAGGGTTGCCCTTACAATAGTCAGATCTATGCATAAGATATGGGTGGTGTCCAGGGAATATTATGCATAAGATATGGGTCCAGCTATTTGTAATATATAACAGCCCTTGAATTTATTATTATTAGACTACCTGAGAGGGTTATCAGTGATGGAGTGATGGCATCTAGATATATACCTTGATGTGGAACCATTTTTGATTGGCATCAGTGATTCTGATGGCTATATAGAGATCCATCAATTTCATCCCAATTAGGATGATAATCTCTTTTCCCTATCACACAGTCCCCCTAACTACATACCGGGTCATCGGCCTGAAGAAATAGGACTTAAGGATATTATATATGATATTACATAAGTGATATCTGTCAATCCTGTTGTGTAATATCAGGTTTGATATCCTGTCACAATTCCTGTCACAAGTCTCAGTTATAGGTCTCTGGTGGAACACCCATATCTTATGGATAGCTTTCTGTGGACCTCACCAGCATTTTATGCATAGATCTAGCCATAGAGGGTGTTTGCTGACCACTGGGCCCCCAGCGCTCTTGGCGAGCCGTAGTGGTAGTATTTAGCCTAAATCCAGTAGGTGTACCTAGGAACACTACGGACATTAATGTATTTTCTGCCCCAGAAAATGCACAGAAAATTTGAAATTTTCTGAAAATCTTCTGAAGATTTTCCGAGGATTTTCTGTCACGGAAAATTTAGAATTTTCCATCAATCTTCTGAGAATCTTCTGGAAATTTTCTGAGTCAGAAGATTTCTAATTTTCTGCCGCAGAAAATTTTCAGAAAATGTGGTACTCGGATCTGTGATCCGGCCGATGAGATTTTTTCTGGTATACAAGTAGCTATCAAGGCAATCAGTTGGTATACTTAATCAACTCCACATTGACCCACAACTAGCATAATACATGGCATACAAGGCTCATACTAGTGCTTGTATACATAGCCTTTGGACTCTCCACCACCTAGTGCCAGCCATCTCTTCCACCACCACAACAACCATGAGAAGAAGCGAGGACACCATTACTTACGCGGCTGTTCAATGGTGTTCGCGAACATGGAGAACGCGCCGTTCCGCGCGTGAAGCATCGTCTGACACCTCAAATTTGCTACAATGTTGAGGGTTATAAGGTCAGTTTTCGCTTTATCACCAACACTTGCGCTCACTTAGGACATTTCAGAATTTAAAGGCTGAATTTGGCGTCCTCGCAGCAACGACAAAGGCTTGAGGGACATTCGACTTGGAACACGTCGTTGGTGGGGTTTTAGAGAGCGCGAGAGAAGGGGCGTCAGACACTGACAAGCTGACAAGTAGTCTCTCTCTGCCGTTTATTCTCAATTCACTCGCTCCATCTTGCCGTATTTCACCAGGGCTTCCGCGGTAAAAAAAAGTTGGTTCAGCATCGTACTTTTCTGTTTGTCAAGTACTGCATAAATTAGTTTCTGGATGAATGAGATGAGTTAGACGACCTACGTTTCCTCTGTTTCGTCTGCCATCCCCATCTCCTATACGACGCGGGGGTCCGCGAGCCACTGTGCAAACTTGTGTGCCCGTTTCGGATCCTGACCACAGCATAGCTCTACAACCTTCTCCGCCCACACTCGGAACCGCTCTTCATCACCAAGGACCGCGTAGCTCAATGCGAGGTCCTCCATAAACGGAACCTGCATTCCCCATAAGCCCTCTTGTCTGACGAGCTCCAGCGCCCGCAGACTCGACTCGATAACGACGTCATCCGAACGACACATATCCCTCTGCCCAAGGCTCGAATCTTGTGTGTGTGTGTTGCGCCAGTCGCGCAGCTCAGCCCTGGCGGCATCGCTTTTCGCGACGGCTTCATCATCGGGCAAATCGCAGTGTTGGCAAAGACAAACAAAGTCGTATTGGGCGAGCTGGGCCCGTCGTTTGGCGCGAGGGCGAGAACATCAATATACTGGTTGTGGATTTCCTCTCCGGCTTGGACATCACGGAGAGAGTACATCGACACTGAGAATGTTGCAGGGTCCCATTTTATAGCAGTATTCAGTCCGCAACTGGGTTTAATCTTCAGTCAACCATCGGACCAGAGAGAAACTTACCAATGATTTGCACAGCTAACATGGGGGAAGATTCCACCATACTCCTGCTCCGTGACCCCTAGTTCCACACCAAATGCATTTGTCAGCGCAATGCCCTCGACGACAGGCCAGAGCTCAACACTATGGCAGTTTGCCAACTCAAGTAAACACTCTCTTTCGCTGGGTATGATCCTCGGAATGAGCCCATCGAAAGCTTCACGTTTCCACGAAAGCGAGGGGTCAATATTGGAGGGCACTATCGCGACCGGCCTGTCAACCAGGATCAGTGCTTTTGCAACAGTTTGCTTGCTGGAAAGCAACAAGGTTGCGACTGACCACCCGCGGGTACAGTATATCTGTCGCCAGCCGTGCATTCGTTGCCGGGGCGCTGTCTTGTTGCTGTTGCCATCCCTGTAGCTTGCTGTCCCGCCCGTGAATAGACACATTCCAGGATGGCAGGTGTTGGTGCCAAGATGCTCGAGCGAATTTATGTGGCTGCAGGCCCCGCACAACTGGTTAGCAAGACAACGAGAGGATCAAGATGCTGACTCACCTTTGTCCTCCACCGCGACAACACATCTCCAGAGGCCGCAAGCCAAAGCGTGAGCAGCGGCGACTCACCAGGCTCTGCTCGATGAGGCCCCACCGGCGCGTAGGCGTGCAGCATGGCAGCAGCGTTAATGACGACGGGTGAGAGAAGGCTGTGGAGCGAGGGAAAAAGAAGCAAACGACCGGCCCGCGGGCACGTGTTGCTTACCAACTGCTCTTCCGCCCTCCATCTCCCGCCCAAATGCGCGCCCGCAGCACATTTACCCATCCCTCTCAACAATTCTGCTAAGCGCAGAACACAATCCCCGCAGAAACCCAATGTCTGAACTATCTATGGCTATACTACAGCTGTTTCCAGCACCGGAATTTGTATTGATTATATAATCAGTGTTTCAAAACAGTGTAACACTGTCACATACATTGATGATTTATTCCAAGTAAAAGACATGATTAACTTTATATCAACATGGATATGTATGCTGCCCCTAACAATCAAGAATCATGCACAGGAGCGTTCTCTATACCAGTAATACTAGGGTTTGGCAATAAATGGATGACATAATTATGTATAATTATCAACACTACCTCTAAAAGTATTTCAGATCTTTTTTAAACAACCAGCAATATAAAATTCATCTCTACAATATCATCATTTATAGACTGATATTGATACTGCATTTCTTGATGGATTTTGCTGCAATGAACCAGAACAATACATTATTATCCCTGCTACCAGTATAGAATGTTTCTAGCTTAAAAAAATTTATATTCTTAGATTTTTGTGGCATTTATTGGTGATTGCCTTTTTTTGGAAGAGTATAGTTGCAGAGAAGAAGAAGAAGAAATAGTTGCTTCTAGGTTCAATATGGAGGTGAAATCTACTAATCATACACTAGCTCTGGCACTTCAATCATAACCTTCCACAAATCTGGGTTAGGCAAGATTTTGTGGAACTTTTCTGGGAAGCCTGGTCAAATGTGAGAGAGAGTAGAGTTAGATTAAAATATATGTAGACAAGATAATTGTGCAAATTTTTAGGTAAAGTGTCACGGATAAGACCCGGCCCGTCCGCTCCGGGCGCTGGTGTCGGGCCATCGCGGGCCCGTAGCATGCAGCATGTGACAACGGGGAACATGCGCCCCAGTAGGAGGAACGCACACGTGGGAAGCACATGACCGAGAACGACGTGTCGAGCTGTCGCCGAGCCCAACTCGACACCAGGGGACTGGGGAGGAGTGCTAGGAGGCTAGGAGTAGCACCTGGCCCGCAAGGAATGTACGATCATCCCCTCTGCGGCCAGGAACAGGGGCAAGAAGGAGCAGGAGAGGCCAGGGTGTCCGATCACTCCCTTTGCGGGCCCGCGTATATAAGGCGCAATAGTATACCATGTACTCTATCACTTAGATTGTCTAGAGAACTACCAACACGACCCGATTCGAACCTTCGACCACCGACAGCGACAAGGGACCGAGTTCATGGGCCCTTTCGGTTTTGATCTACCCCGCTCACCATACTTGCGGGCCCAACTATCTGTCTGTTCTGTTTTGGGCGCGCGTTCTTAGGAGAGGCCCCTTGCACGGCCCAACCCATAGTCTGTCAGGGGAAGCCCCCTTTCGGCCCCTCGGAGACACGTCCGACTCCGGTCCGACTCCGGTTCCAACTCCGGTTCGGCCCTCCATCTCGCCCGCACAATCACCGATCCGTCAACGCCCTCCCGACGGTCGCCCTGGGACCTTGCCTGCGACACCGCCCAAGCCTTCTGTGCCCGACAGCGGCAGCTACGGACAAGCAGTATATAGTCAGCTACCTAGCAGGCGGACCCTTAGAGTTTCTTCTCTTTGGATCCTCCCCTGCTAGGTCAGCTTCATTTCTATTCGCTTACCAATGTTCACACTTTGGATCCTCCCCTGCTAGGACCTTGATCTCAGGCCTCCGGGGTTGCCCTTACAGCAGAAGAAACTCTCTACGGGATCAACCGGACAAGATTGCTAGGTTCGGCGCTGACTCAGGCTCAGAATACGAGTCCGTTCCGCCCTCGTCACCGCCCCTACCACTTGTCCCCTCCTCCTCTGTCACTCCTGTCGTCCCCGCACCTGTCATGCCTTCCGGAGCTACTCCTGACGCTGACACTCGGCTGGATGCACTCGAGGCGAAAATCGACCGCCTAACTGAGGCCCTTACTCTTCTCACCACCCAGGCTTCCGCTGCCGCTGCTGCCGCTAATAATGCTGGCGGACCCCAAACAACACCACCCCCGGAGACGTCGATTCCGACTCCGACTCCGGTTCAGGGCGATTCCGAGGCCCTCTTTGGCGACATCAACATCGCCTCAAGATTGGTCTTACGACCAAACCCTCCGTTCACCTTCAACGGCGATCGGAAACGCGGCCGCGCGTTCCTCTATGCGGTCCGCACCTAACGCTCGCCTTGCCCCTGAGGCCTTCGTGGTCAACGGAGAGGCGAGCGAGGAAAAGGCCGTCCGCTATGCCATGTCGTTTATGGCAGAAGGACCCGCTCAGCAATGGGCGGAGCGCCACGGAAGCAAAGCCCCGTTTCCGTCCTGGGGCTCGTTCGTTTCCGAGTTTCGGCTCCGGTTCGTCGAGGAGAATGAGCAAGATCCTGCTCTCTCCAAACTGGAGACTTCCGCCTATCACATGGGCACAAAGGATGTCTACCAGTACACTGACGACTTCGAGGACCTGATGGACCTCGCCGGATTCGAAGACGCATTGGTCAAGGTGACCAAGTTCCGCCACGGACTTGACCCCCTGATCAACAACAGAATCACGTCCTCGAACGACCCCCCGGACCTCCGGGACTACCTTAGCTGGCGCACCCGGGCCTTCCGTCAATACGAGGCCCTGGTCCGGGCCAAGCTGATCAAGTCAGCCGCCCCCAAGACGCCTGGCGGTTTGATTCGGACTCCGTTTCCGGTCAACCGCATCCCGGCTCCGGCCGCTTTCCGCCCGGTGGCTCCGGTCGTGCCACCCGCGGCCCACGCCCCCGCTCCGGTGCCTCCAGCTCCCGTCCCCATGGAGTTGGATCGCACTAGGGCTCGGGGTGCCCCTCGTCGCGCCTGCTTCCACCCGTAGCTGTAAGAATTAGCCTGGCGGGCAGGGTGCACCCAGGATATCCATTGTCTAGCCCGCTAGCTGCACGCAGCCTGGCTGCACTTAGCAGAGCTAGCCTAAATCAGCCCAGTTGTATTCTCTGCCAATCCTCGGCGCCATTCGGCATGGCTAGTGGTTGATGGCTTCATCTAGTGGTTGATGGAGCAGTTGATCACGTTGATGGACATGATCTTTTGCTGATGTCAGTGATGGTCCTCCCTCGCTATCTATCTTATGATGTCATCCCCTGTGACAGGTTCTTGAGTGATCTCCAGTCATCGACGTTACGCGGCCAAGCTGTTCAGCCAATTGATGGCGCTGATGGCATCAATACCATCGATGAGAAATCATATTGTGCTCTCATTTTCGTCCCTCCCTAATTGATATCCTCTTGATGGCAGTGATGGCAGTGATGGCAAGGGTGATGGTAGCCATAGCCTGTTCGTTGCCGCAGCAAATTTTTCCTTGTCTTATAATCGCATTTGATAGAACATTGATGAAAACGATGGGATCACCAGTACCAGAAACTCGGCATAAATTTTAAAAAATTCAAAATTATTCCTTCTCCCCTGATAATAACCCAAGATAAATGTCACCATCCTTCCCCACTACTGCCCTAGCCACCGGCTGCTTCCAATGAACCCAGTCCTTCGCGAACCGGCTTGCAATGGTCTCGTGGACGAATCGCTGTTTCCTCGCATAAGCCTTGATTCCCGCCGCTAATGCGGGTCCCACACATATCCTCGCCGTTGCCCGCTCATCCCACTGCTCCTGGATTGACCACAAGCTCCTCAAAACTCGACGCATCTCCTCCCGGATCAGCCTGACCTCCTCGACCCATCGATCCCGTCGTGCCCGCGATTTGGCCCATTGGACACGGACAGCATCATGAATTCGTACTTGTTCATTGCCCTCGCCTACCATGAACCAGATCCAGGATACAGGACCAGCCTGTGCGGCCGTGGGCTCATTCCGGCCTGGCCGAGCCGACCCCAACCGACCCAAACGCGCCCTCGACTCAGCATCACTCTCTGTTTCAGCACGAACATTGAGGTCACTTTCCTCCAGTTTCCGATATTGCGGCGCGAAGTCGGTGCCCTTCAGCCGGCGAAGAGCATCCCACGCCTGACGGTATTTGGTGGCCTCCCGTGAGATCTTATCTCCCACTCGACCAATTAATGTCGCAGATCGGGTAGTGGCGTTTTGTCCAACAGAGGAGGCGTTTCGATGGAAGATTAGATGGGTTTTGGAGTATAACAGGCTCCGGATCTTTGTGAGAGCGTCTCCGCATTGGGCCTGTCGTAACTTTGCCTCCAATTCGAATAAACCTTTGCGACAAGCCCATCCCTGACGATCGCTCAAGTCGGAAGGCAACCAGAGCTTTATATCCTCGGCCTTCTGTGGCGGCTGCTCTGAATCCCTCCGCTCCTCCTCCAGCGCTCGAAGCCCTCCAACGCCAGGCATATACACCTCCTGCTGTTGCTGAATGGCGTGTAGTTTCTTGAAGAACGATACCCGTTGCTCCTCAATTTGACTAGCTCGCTCGGCAGATATTCCAGCGGTGCGTATTTCATTCTTGATCTTCCGCCTGGCTTTTGCTCAGCATCTGCACAATTCCTACACCATGAACTTACTTGAGGTCCTCCAGATGCAACAATCCTTTCACGAATGCCGCGGCCGTCATTTTGCCATCCACAAATTCGCCTCGCTGTTCTCGTGCCTCTGCCACCTCCGCCTCTTTCAACTGAGCGGCGACCTTCGCCTCCGTTGGCCCTGCTATCTTAGATGTTAGCTTGGGGAAATCTTGGATGGTAGCCGCTCGCACCATCGCTGCCGCCGCCCATCAGGTACGGGTTTGGTCTTGTCTTGTCGACCAGCCAGTCCTTGACCATTGCTTCCCAGTCCTTCCGAACCTCTCCT